CCGCCGAGCCCACTCCCCGCTTGGGGCCAGGGCCGGCGATGCCTGGCGCGGCAACGGCGGTAGCCGCGGCTGCTGCTGCTGCTGCTGCTGCCGCCACGGCTGCTGGCCAGAGCCCGGGTCGGGGGCTTGAGTCTCCGCAGTGGGGCTGAGCCCGCAGCCCCGCCCCCCGAGCCTGAGGCCGCTGCTCCGCCGGGCGCCGGGCCTTCTCCGCCCGCGCCTCCGCCCCAGGAACTGGAGCCAAGCGGGGAGCCCGGGCCCCGCGCCCAGGCCTGGACCATGCATGGCCACCGAGTCCCGGGGGGCCCTGGGCCTTCGGATCCCGAACGCTTGGCGACAAATACCCCTGGCGCGGCTCCACTGGCCTGTGCCGACTCGGACCCTGGAGTCTTGGAACCCGGTCTGCCGGTGCGCAGGGGCTCAGGCTCGGCTCTTGGAGGCCCTTTGGATCCTCAGTTTGTCGGACCCTCTGACGCCAGCTTGGGGGCTCCTCCAAGCTCCCGGGTCTTGCCCTGCGGCCCTAGTCCACAGCACCACCGGGCCCTGCGCTTCTCCTACCACCTGGAGGGCTCGCAGCCTCGGCCTGGTGAGTGATCTAGACAGCATGGGAACCTGGGCCAAGGCCTGGTACTGGGAACGGGTTCTTGTTATAGGGGTTGGGGCCGACATGCTCACCGTAGCCCCTTGGGTCTCCTAAAACCCTATTCCTCCCCCTCCCGCAGCCTTCCGTTCAGTTCTTTCAGCCTTTGCTCCTTGCTCTTCTCTTTCCCTTGCGCCCTCAGTCCTTAAGACTCCTTTCTCTTCTAACTGCTGAGGCTAACAGGAGAGGAAGCACTCCCAAGAAAAGGGGGCAGGATTTCAAGGCAGCAATGGGGATGCGGTTGAGGAATAGGAGAAAAGAAGTCTCCCATTAGCTAAGTGCCTACATTTGTGCGTGGCTCTGAACTGGGTACTTTTACAAGGCTTCTTGTTTCAGCTTCAGGAGCCATCTGAAGTGGATATCATCAACCACAGTTTTTGGGGTGCAAACCAAGGCTCTGAGAAGTAACTTGTCCAAGGTCACAGTGTCACTATGGAGCCTGGATTCAAAACCAGAGTAGAGTCCAAAATCCGTGGTCTTTCTGCTTCCCTAAACTGAGTCTGGAGAGTAATGCCAAGCTTTCGACTTATGTGATTACCCCATATACTGTTCAGTAGCCCTGAAGTATGAGGACGAGAGAGAGAGAGAGAGAAAGAGAGAGAGAGATAGAGAGAGAGAGAGAGAGAGAGAGCTGATCCTAGATTGTGCTTTTGCTAGGTGTGTGTGATCAGAGTACACGGTGGTGAGGAAAGGTAGGAGGTGCTGATGAGAGAGAAAGGTGGAGATGAGCCTGAAGGGGCTGGTAGGTAGAAAGAGAGCTGAAAGGTCAGAAGGGACAGCTGCGGGGCCAGCAGATTGTTTGGACAGATAATCAGGATGGTTGCTTGGGTTTGCAGTGGTGAACAACTCTAGGTCAGGCCGGGGCCACAGACCTGCCTGGCCCTTTTCATAGCCCTGAGTACCTGAGCAGCCTAGTAGAGCCTCTAGGATATTCTCACGTGGGCCTGAGTCTAGGAGCCTTGAAGGAAGAGCAGTGCCTACCTGCCCTGTCTTCCCTGGGACTGAAGGAGGTGGTGAGAGGCTCACTGCTTGCTTCCAGGGCTCACATCTCAGTTTCCACAGGTCACAAGGACTGTGGATGGCTCAGTACCAGGTAGCAGTAACAGTTAGTGAAGCATAAAACACGGACAGGATGTGCCTCTCGCTGCTGTCTGTTCTCTGAATAGTAGTTCTGGAGCCTCTGGGAGAGTTCAGCACACACACAAACACACACACACACACACCCTTGTGAGCTGGAGGTAGCCAGCTCACAACCCTTTAATGCCCTGTTCTGCTTGTTGCTTCTGCTGGCTTTCCAAACTCCCCTGGACACATGTTGTGGAGAGGGGGCTACCCATCCATACTTTCTTTTAGCTCCTCCCTTCAGATCCCCAGACACCCACAACTCTCCCAGTGCAGAGCCTTTGCATTTGCTTTGCCTTCTGCTTGCAAGCCCTTCCCTCAGCCCTCCACCTGGCTTGCTCCTCATCTTTCTGGTCTCAGCTCAAATGTCCCCTCTGAGAGACCTTCCCTGACCACTTTTAAGTAGGGCCCCTCTTGTGACTCTCCATCACAGCTGCCAGTGTGTGTCTACCCTTACATTTAATACAGTCTGAAAGTGCCCTCTTGTTTGTGTCTACTTGGTTATTGCTGCTCTTAATGCCGCCAGAATGTGAGCTCCTTAAGGGCAAGGGGGTCGTGTCTGTTGCTTTGTTCTGAACTGTATACCTAAGGGACTAGTTTAGTAGCTAGTACATAGCAGGTACTCAATAAATCCTTCTTCAACAAATGTCTGACTAGATGGTAAGGGACCACACAGTAGGCCCTCTGTAACTATTGCCTAACAGTGAGTTCCCACCCAGCAAATACTCTTGCTCTGGGACTCAGTAGCTAGGAAGGTCTTGACCCTTGCTCTCTGCCCCCTCTCTAGTCAACACGTGGTTGATACTGAGCTTGCTTTTCTACTCCGCCAGTTCTTCTGAATTCCAAAGCAGAGTACTCTTCCCAAACCATTCCCCTCTTCTCTCCACATCAATACAGGATTTTCAGAATCCTTTTCCCCAGTTATATCTTTGGCTCTACAATGGCACGGTGGGTGTCTTTTTTTTTTTTTTTACTTTTTTTTGAGACAGGGTTTCTCAGTGTAGCCCTGGCTGTCTTGGAACTCACTCTGTAGACCAGACTGACCTCACAGAGATCTGCCTGCTTCTGCCTCCCAAGTGCTGGGATTAAAGGCATGTGCCACCAATGCCCAGCGGGAGTCTTTTATTTTAGTAAAAAGTAAAGATTGGGATTAAAAAAGGGTGTTAGGGAAAGACTTGGTCTCCCATCTAGCCATTCCTAACTTACTCACTATGTAGCCCTGGATGAATGGGTTCAGTTCTTGGTGCCCTCATCTAGAGAATGATATCTAGGAATCTGTAAGATTCTTGTTTGCGAAGTCCTCACCCTCTGAGGACTTAAAGAATAAAGCATGAAGAGAGAAAACCCTTTTGAAGAAGAGGCCGAGGAATTTCTCAAGTCCTGACAAGGCGGGCACTGGGCCATGTGATTCACAGTAGCATGGGTTGTGAGAGGCCCGCCTCCCCCTCTTCACAGCCAGCCTAGGGGTAGGCACAAGTGACTTGCTTCTCTCTCCACAGGACTTGCCTATAATTGGCTCAAAATGGGCAGGATTGGTGGTGGGAGGGTGTGTGTATAAGAGGGAGAGCAGGAAGGAGGGGGAGAGAGACAGAGATACACAGAGAGAGACAGAGATCTGAACTTCAGTTAAAGGACTAGAGACGCTTTAGCCCACATGTTAAGATATATTCATGTGCCTGCTGACTTCCTCCTTCAGACTCCTGAGGATTTTATTGAATCACCAGCCTTTGGTCCCAGTGGCATATTCCAGAGCAGCAGGGGGTGGATGGTGAGAAAATAATAATTATGTCTTATCCATGTGAAGAGCTGAGTTACCTCCGGGCCCTTTCTTTTTGTTCCTCTGTCTAGTTCCTGGTGGAGAGTATTATGCTCAGTTTCTAGGCTGGTAAAGCCCAAGGCTTCCTTGGGTCACTGGGATAACCCGGTGAGATACCAGAGAGGGTGGTGGGAGGGTTACAGGTGAAGGTTTATGCATATAGGGATTTGGAAGTCCTATTGTAATCCTCATGGCTCAGACCTAGAATGTCTTCCCACATGCTGGGGCTTGGAGAGAGTTTGGAGCCAAAGAAGTTGGATTTGATGTTAGTGCTGTTTGTTTATTTGGTTTGAATTTTGGTTTGTTGAGACAGGGCTTCTCTGTGTTGCCCAGGCTGTCCTGAAACTTGCTCTGTAGACAAGGCTGGCCTTGAACTCACAGAGATCCACCTGCCTCTGCCTCCTGAGCGCTGGGATCAGCTGTTTTGTGGGGAGTGAGAGAACAACCAATGAAAGTAGCAGAAAGGGCTAGTTTATTCTTACTTGGTCACATCTTCAGAGACCAAAGAGTTAAATGCTGCAGAAGTTCCTAGACGCTGTCTGATTCTGGGTTTCTTACCCTCAGTAAGCCTGAAAAATCTTTTGTTGACCTTGAAGAATAAATGTCTTCTCAGCTTCAGAGCCTTGGAGTTAGAATCCAGGAAATCTGGTTTCAAGAAAGATTTTCAGAAAGGGACAGATGTAGTGGCACACACCTTTAATTCGAGGCAGAGGCAGTAGGATCTCTGGGTTCCAGGCCAGCCAGGGTTACATAGTGAGACCCTGTCTCAACAGCAGCAACAAAAGATTCTCAGATGATTTTGGTGTATAGCCTAGGGCTCATTTTTCCAATTGAGTCAAAGCAGACCCAGAGAGGCAGTGATTCAGCCATGGTCCTACAGTGAATGAGCATTGTCTCTGAAGTCTTCCTCCCAGAGTCATAGATGAATGTCCCTTAACTCCAAGCCCAGAAGGGAAGCATAGGTTGTAAGAAAGTGAGTTAATCTTGCCCCCATGCACACAAACCCTAGGTGCCTCAGTTTATTTTTCTCCCCTGTTTTTGTCATGTCTGTCGTTTGACTATTTATATTGGAAGACAGTTAAGATTCTGGAACTCTAAGCATAGGAAATTTGGTATCAGCAGTGCCCAATGAAAGGCCCTGGCCTGTCCCGTGGGAAGGGACTTAGAGGTATATCTACTAAGGCTCATAGACCTAGAAAACGTGGGGGGTCAGTTCAGCTAGAAGGTCTGGTGTCAGCAAAGACATGCAAACACTGATTAGGGGACCAGTACTAGGCAAGAGTGGAGGGAAAAGGCTAGCAAAGGGACTTTGTCCTGAGGGCAAGCAGGATCCATCCAGGGCTTATTCATGGGGAAATGATGTGCTAGGTGCTAGGATTTAGAAGTTTCATGGGTGCACATGGAAAATGGATGGAAGGGATTAAAGAGCAGAAGCATGTATACTGAAATTGGAATGATACAGAGAAGATTGGCATGGCCCCTGTGCAAGGACGACACATTAAGTCAAGTGGTAGTGGCACATGCATTTAGTCCCAGCACTCCGGGACTGTGAGTTTGAGGCCAGCCTGGTCTACAGAGCCAGTTCTTGGACAACCAAGGCTACACAAGGAGGCCCTGTCTCAAAAAAACAAAACAAATTAAAAACGTGGAAGTGCATGAAGGGGGCAAACTGTGGGTGTCATATATATTTTGTGAAAGGTAATGGTAGCTTAGGTTAAATTGTAGCAAGTGTATCAGAAGAATATTTAAGTGCCAACATGGATAAGCCTTGGTGATGCCTGGAGAGGCCAAGGAAGGAGGGAGAATCCAGGACGGTTTTGGATAGTTTTCTAAAACCAGCTAAGTGACCTAGTGGTTGATAGTGGAGCCATCTACACAAGAGGGGGTTTAGGAGAATGTGATGAGTTGTGTTTGAAGCCTAGGAAGATAGCAAGGTAGTGATGGTTAGCAGACATTTGGATTTAGCATTATAAATATCCAGAAAGATTTCTATGTGAGAGACGTTTGGGAGTGTTCACCACCAACATATACCATAGACCACCAGGTAGCTCTTATGCAGGGTATGTGTGGTCCAGAGGATCTGTTGCATCCTTGAAGGCATATGCCGAGGTCAGTAAGGCCATATTCTGATAAGTCTCTCTGTGTGTGGCAACTTTAAAAACATTTGCACGGAGCTGAGGCCTATTACACACACATTGGGGATAGCTGGCTTTTGCAAAGAACTGAAAGGCAAATCAAACATTGCCATCAAAATATTTGTGTGGCTCCTTCCTTATTTTCCATGGTGAGTGCATCTGAGAGACCTCAGGACATTTTTTGTCTTGTTTCTTGGAGGAAAACAGAGGGGTCTCAGGCTGAGCTAAGTGCTGAGATTTGGAGGATGTTTGGAGAGTCAAGTAGGTTCAGGAAACATCTTAGATTTGTTTTCTAGTCAGCTGGAGCTTTTCAATCAAACAATAAAATAATCAAGACTGGGTAGGTGGCCAGAAGGGCTTTCCCCATTAAAGGAATTGAAAGTTTCAAATGTAGCTGATGGCACTCTACTCTTTAGCCCTTTCAGATGCCCAGTCCGAGGAGGGCCCAGCTAGGGCTCCCTCCTCCCTCAAGAGTGAGTGACAGCTAACTGTACCCTACACACACAGAAGCAGTGGCTTTCTGCAGCCAGTTAGCTAAATGCCTTAGGCAGATGTGGTGCTGGCCAGACGCTGGCTGGGTGGGGCTAGGACCTGTCTGGAATGAGGGCAGGAAGCGCAGCCTGTCATTGGCTAGCCACTTGGATTTAAGTTCCTTAATGCAGAGAGAACAGACACCCCTGAAGCCACAAATCCAGTCCTTCAGGACTCTAGTGTCCAGTTCCTTGAACCTGGAAGGCATACCTACAGCAGAACTGGAGTCAAGGTTATAGGGCATCTACTGAGGAACCTCAGCACTCCTGGATCCGCCATTCATTGTACTCCCAGACCTCACTTCCCAACTCAGAGCTTCAGGTTCCCCATTTCCAATATTGCTTATGCCATTTGCCTGGGATACAACCTGACAACCAGAAATACTTTGTGGCCAGGCGGTGGTGGCGCACGCCTTTAATCCCAGCACTCGGGAGGCAGAGGCAGGCGGATCTCTGAGTTCGAGGCCAGCCTGGTCTACAAGAGCTAGTTCCAGGACAGGCTCCAAAACCACAGAGAAACCCTGTTTCGAAAAACAAAACAAACAAACAAACAAAAAAAACAGAAATACTTTGTGAACCTGTAGGAGAGAAAGGTGGGGAAAGGAGGCTATTTTCTTACCATGTCTTCTGAGTGCCTACGGTGTGTTCCACTTCTTGATCTGTGCTGAGATGTGCCCTGTCCTCATGGAGCTCACATCTAGAAGGAAAGCTACATTGCAAGTCATTCCCAGCACAGATGTTTCAGGGATGCATGGAAAGGAGGCAGAACAGACATTTATGTTAAGTCCTGAAGGATAACTAGATGACCAGAGGTAAGGAGATGTGGGAAAAGAGTTCAGGCTGCAGGAACGACATGTGCCAAAGCCCCAGGCGGAAGAAAGCACTTTCGAGGAATAGACAAGAGACCATTGTGGCTCAAGGATGGGTGCGGGGCAGTGTTCATGAGTTTAGGGCTTTCTTGTTCCTATTCTCCGGAGTTCAGAGTTCACCCCAAGGCTAGAATAAGCCTGGCTGGGCTGTGGAGAGGGCATTGGAGAGGGCCCAGGGGATGGAGGGAAACAGTTAGAAACTGGAAGCAGACCGTGTATGGATTCTAGAGCTCCTAAAGGGCCTGCCTGCAGGACTTGGGAGTTGGTTTTGTGAGTTAAGGTCGAAAGGAATGGTGGAGAAAGGCCAGTCTGTGACTTGGACAGCTTGGGTGAATGGAGGTGCTTGCTGTTCCTGGAGTGGGGAAGGCAAGAGGAGGAACTAACTGTTGGTTGGGGTAGGGATGTTTGTTATTTTTAGGATACACTGTGTCTTAGAAGCCCCAACGTAAGACATCTAGAGCAGTGCACAATAGGCGCCAGATGTATCTTCCTGGGCCCCAAAGTCAGGACAGGATGGTGAGGTCACAGGTGTGTGACAAGAGCTGCCAGAACACAGTGGGCTATCCTGCTGCCTTTCCCCTTTCAGCTGTCTGCCCCGCTTCCTGTGTTCTGCTCTACAGCGGCGCTGAAAGGGAAAGGGTTAAGTTGCTGAGCTGAAGTCTGCTCTGGAAAGTGGGAAAGGCGGGACTGGCAAGGCTGGCCCATGGGAGCTGCAGCTGGCATAGAAGCCCTTCCGCTAGCCCATAAGGCCAGCGCCGCCGCTGCAGCCGCCCACGCTGCCTCCTTTGCTTTGCCTTTACCTTCCCTGCTCCCCCCTCCAGCGTCTTCCCGGCTCCCCTAGTCTGGGCCTCCCTACCTAATCTGTTCCAGGTGGAGGTGCAGCCCCTCTCACACTGCAGGCCAGCAGGGGAGGGGGCTAGGGAAGGTGGAAGTCTCTTTTGCTGTCTTTTAGGGTGAGTTTCCCAGTCTTTGGGACTTTCTCTCTCTCTCTGGAGAATTTTCTTCCGGGATCTTTGAGTCATGTCTCTTGCAGTGATGGGGAGCGGCCCCCTCCCAGACCCATGCCTGCCACCTTGGAAAGTGTCACGTGGTCTTGCTACTTTTTGCCTCAATTTTCTTAACTATAAAATGCCTTGTAATCCCCACCCCTTTAGGGCTATTGTAAGGATTAAATGCCACAGGCAAAGCCCAGAGGCCCATTGTAGCCATGTTCAACAAATGGCCCTGGCCTGCCATTTTGCCTGCATCCCTCAGTAACTTCCATGCCCCATGCAAATCACTTTGTCTCCGTCTCCATCTGACTCATCCCATTTTCTATCTTTCCTCTTATATCCCTCTGGGTTTCTGAAGGTTTCCTGCCTTGTGCTTCCTTGCCTTTGTCCCAGAATTTTTTTTAAATTGAGGTTTGTTTGTTTTTGGAGACACTGTTTCATGTAGTGCAGGCCAGCCTTAAACTTACTATGTAGTTGGGCTGGCCTTGGTCCTTCTGCCTCTTGTCTCCCAAGTTCTAGGATGACTTCCATGTACCACTTTTAGCTTTCTCTAAAAGTCCCTCTCCTCTCATAATTCCTCTGGGTATGCAGTTCTCAGATTTAACCAGACTTCTAGTGGCTGGGAGGGTAGATGCATTGGTTTTGGGGGGACAAACTGGGGTCAAGACAGGGGTCAGAGGGATCATCCATCCACTGGCTTTGTCCTAATTGGGAGGGTAATTCTAGCCAGCGTGGCAGCCCTAGCACTGCACTGGGTAATTACTGTCCCCAGTACTCCCAGCTGCAGCTCCACTCCCTTCCCTTCCTGTCCTCTGAAGTCCCCAGCTCCTCCCAGGGGTGGAGCTACCACCCTCTATCCCTTTCTGGCCTCTGGTCCAGAGAAGACCAGAGGAGGTGGCCAGGCCCTTCATAGCAATCAAGCAGATAGAAAAGAAGGGACGGGCCACTTGTACTCTTCAGTGGCAGGGGTGTCTGTCTGTCTGTCTCTCTCTCTCTCTGTCTCTCTCTCTCTGTCTCTGTCTCTCTCTCTCTCTCTCTCTCTCTCGTGTCTATGTCTGTCTGCCTGTGTGCCTGTCCTCTTGGCAGTCTTAGTCTCCATGGGTTGTTTTGTGTCTTACTCTTCTTTGTGGATGCTTGTGTGTAAGTTTGTTTGTGCGTCTGTATATAAGCATGTGTGTCTTTGCATCACTGTGTGTTGTATGCTGTAGATTAGGTCATTTGGCGCAGTTTTAGCCCTGGAAGTTTCTAGCCGCTTCTCTGTATGGGTCTGCCTGTTTCATCTATTTCTGTGTCTGTCACTCTGCCCTCCTAAGTCAGTGTTCTAAGAGTGGTGGCTGGGGTAGCATCTTTTGGCACTTCATACCAGTTCTTCCTATTCTAGAACCTTCTTGCAAACCCAGCCCACTCTGACCTTTAATCACATGCTTCATCCACGCACCTTTCCAGGTATTTGCACTTTTGCCTACTTTTCTTCCATTGCTGGTACGACTATCCGGAGTCCATCTATGTGTGGAAGAAATACACATCCTATTGGGGACAGCGCAACTTAAAAGCACCTCTTTTACAAAGTTGTTTTCTTCCTCCTTCCAAGAATGATTTCTTCCCCAGCTCAGCAACTTTACCCAAAACCTGCCCTGTGACTACACGCAGACAGACTCAGAGTCAATTGCAGCTCAGTTATTCTAGCCGTGTAGGCTCAAGTCAGTTACTTCGCTGCTTTATGCCTCCCTTTCGTTTCCTTTCTTCCTTCCCTCCATCCCTCCTTCCTTTCTCCCTTCCTTTTCCTTTTCTATTATTTTTTTAATTGTGACGTGTTCTCACTGTGTAGCCTTGACTGGCCTGGTACTCATTATATAGAGCAGGCTGGCCTTCAACTCACAGCCACCTGCCTCTGCCTCTCTGAGTGTTGGGATTAAAGGCATGTGTCACCACCACACCTGGCTGTACCTGTTTCATTATGTACAAAATGGAATTAATAGCTCATGGAGTTATTAGGAGCATG